TCCATCATCTAAGATGCCCACTGGCCAATAATCTAACCTTTTTTGTCCTCCAGATTTCCTAGAATGGGAATTAGACACTGGTCCATTCTGTGTCCCAAATCCCAGGGGTATGTATTGGACACCCCATTTGGTCCAGGTAAAGCCCCCTCATACTAGTTTTGAGTAGGAGGCAGGCAATCTCTGCCCCCACCCCTTGGTGGGACGTGTGGATGAGACTTGCAGCAGAACCTCCTCCAAAGAAGAATTGCTCACAAAATGCTCTCTCTCCCTCTCCACTTCAACATTTTTATATTCTTGAAGTAATAGTGGGTAAGGAGGAGCTCAAGAGTCAATAAACCAGTTCTTGACCATTTCTTTTGTAATTCTGCGTACAGGAGTTTGTTCCACATCCATTACGGTATACATCCTATTAGCACTTCGGTCAAAATGAAAACAAGAAACATCCTAGTTTAGAGCCAGCTCTGGTGGCCCAGCAGTTAAAGTTTGGTACCTGGGTGTGGAACCACACCACTTGCCTGTCAGTAGCCATGCTGTGGTGGCAGCTCACATAGAAGAACCAGAAGAACTTGCAACTACACACAGCTATGTACTGAGGCTTTGAGGGGTAAATACAAAGAAAAAAGGAGGAATATTGAAAATAGATATTAGCTTCTGGTGAATTTTAGCCTGCAAAAAAATAATAATAATAATTTAGAAAAAAATAAAAGAAGAAGCATCCTATTTTCACATACTGTTTCTAGCACATTGTTTATAGTTATAAGGACAGCAAATGGAGTGATCAACGATCACAAATGCAAGTGCATTCAAGGGAAGACAGCTAAAGTAAATGAGTAAACCGGGCATGATATAAGAAAGATTATTTGACCTGCTTTGCCAATTTTTAATTTTCCCACATGGATATGGGGAAATATTTTACTGCTATAAGAAAAAAAAGAGACAGATGATGATAAATGGCAATAACTCAGCCTCAGTACTGAAGAGTGATATGGAGTGGTGGAGTCTGGGGAAAACTGTAAATCTGAATGACTGACAGTCACTACTCAGCTCAGGTCAACAGTTTCCATACAGGAAGGCGAACCCAGTTTTGAATACTTGATGGTTTTTCAGGAGAAGCTGGAAAATCTACATTGTTATGTTTATACTTGATTCTTTACATTTTAGCTCCATTTTTTTTTTCAAACAGCTTGCAGGACAAATAACACCGCCAGTCTGTACTCACTACAAGAGAGACACTAAAATAGTGAGCCAAAACCTCACATATCAGAGCAGAAAGTCAGTAAATATTTTCATAAATTGAGACATTTACAAATAGTAATTTTAGTGCCTTATTTAGACCTGTGAAGGTAACTAAGGAAATAAAAAAGCTAAAAGAGTTCAAAGTGGTTGTCTTTAAGCACAGCATAAGAAAGACCATAGTTTTTATTCATCTATAGTATTTTAGTTTTCTAATTTTTGCCTGTATTACCTTGATAAGAAACTAAAACATCAAAAGCAATTAAAAAATCCATCCACAAAATCCCACTCTGATTCGACTTCTCTGGCTAGAACATGTATTTCTGTCAGAGAACAGAGGCAACTGACTCCTTACTACACCAAGGCCACAGCAGCAGCACCCCCAGCTTTGTATAAATGTTAATTATGCAAGGGTTCGTGGAGCTGTGGCCAGCTTCTGTGTCTACAGATACACTGTACAGGTGCAGGGCTTGCCCGAGATCTTGTTCTTCGTATGTAATTCTTGCTGGCTGCTTGGGAAGCACAATGATGATATGTGAGGACCTGCAGAGCATGTGCCCAATCTGAGGACCAAGCTGAGCAGGGCCACCTGTAGGTCTCCTCAGCCTTATCCAATATCCAATGACTACATGGCTTTTTATCACGGAGCTTCCTACCTCTTCCCACCAACCCACGTCATTAATCCAATGCCATCCTCTTTACCACGTATCTGCTCCCCACATATCGGACTTCCTGTGATAGCCACAGCCACCCCCATTCACACCGCTAGAATATCTTTGTCTCCATGGATTCTCCGCCCAGGTTATATGAGGCCATGAGCATAAATTTGTATCCTCCCTTTTGTAGAATCTCTCTCCCATCCTTGGGATGAGTCATTTGTCCTCAGCTTGCTCCCAAGAAAAAGATAGCCAAGAGACTCATCTTATCCCAGAATGTTAGAAACTACGGGGATTTTATTTATTTTCTTTTAATAAAAATAGCTAACCGTTGTTGAATGTTTTACTTTGTGTCAGGCACTGTTCTAATCCCTATGATGTAGCGACAATTATCCCCATGTTAAGCCAAGGGAACTGAGGCACAGGGAAGCTAAATAACCGGCTCAGGTCAAAAATTTAGTAAGTGGCAAAGCCTGTGTTTTAATCCTGGCTCTGACTCCGGAGCTTGTCCTCTGAACTACTGAATTATATAGTATAATTTTATATATTTCAGTATAATTTATATAACTTCAGCATAAAACAAGACATGAATGCAAAATGACAAATCCATAGAACAGGCTATAACCATCCAAATCTAATTCTGTGACATCTAGGAGACCTCTCCTCAGAGGGAAAAGAATTGAACATCATTGACTCTTATCTTTCCTCACCCTAATTTTAAATTGTCTACATGCATTCTGAGCCTTTATAAAATCAAACAGAACATTTCCGAGGCTCGTTCGCTAGAGGTCAGTCTCCTAACTGTGGGGTCTGGTTTGTCTTGTTACAGCGTTAAGAGGGCAGTTAGCTAACAAATGATGGCTACCATTCGATGTGTCCAGCAGATGTCACTAGAATCTCACAGATTCTGAGGTTGATTCTTTAGCTAAATGACCACACTTTACTGACATAAGCGTCTCACTTCTGTCGAGGCAGGTCATGCTAAGTTTATTATTTAAAAAAAATTTAAAATATAACACTATTTGGTTGTCAAGATAGTCTACCAAAAACTCACACACAACTCACTTATCTTCTGGGAAAGCAAAATGAAATAAGATGTCCTGCTTGAAATAACAAGGCAACCAAGGGAAAAATAAGAGGGTTAGTCAACAGGAATGACAACTCAGACGGGGTTTGAGGTTGTTGTCTCAACGGCTTTCACCAAAAACCATACTACACCCAAGATGAGGGATAGAGGTGAGTGCACATGGCTGCCAGTGTTCCACTGTCCCTCAACAAGGCGCTTCCGAGTGTCTTAGTCTGCCCAGGTTGCCACAACCAAATACCATAGCTAGGGGCCTTAAACAACAGGAATTTATTTCTCACAGTTCTGGAAGCCGGGAACTCCAGGATCAAGACACTGGCCAGTTGGGCTCCCTGGTGAGGACTCTCTTACAGGTTTGCAGACAGCTGCCTTCTCAACGTGTTCTTACATGCAAAGAGAAAGGAAGCAAGCTCTCTGGTGTCTCTTCTGACAAGGGCACTAATTCCATGAAAAGGGCCCCACCCTCATGACCTCATCTAAACCTAATTACCTCCCAAAGGCCCTATCTCCAAATACCATCACTTTGGGGGTTTAGGCTTCAACATATGAATTGGGGTGGTGGGGGACAATTCAGTCCATAGCACCAAATCTATAGATCAACAGAGGTGGCCCATGCAGCCCAGGTTAAATGAGGATTTAGCTATGTTGCAAGAACACATAACACAGGGTTATGGCCTTTTGTACCATGTTAGGCCTTGGAGGCCATGTCAGCCCCCAATGATCCACCTTATTACCTTATAAGGAATGTATTGCTGCATCAATTGCTTACTTCAGAGTTCTAGTTCCTATGCCATCAGCATACCTACAGCAGCCCTACCCACACCTTACCTCTGAGACTTTGCTTGATTTATCTGGAAAGCTCTCAGTTTATCACTTCATGTGCATATGCAGCCCATATGAGACATTCATGGAGGTCTCTTGTCAACAACCCTCAGAGTCTGGTGTGTATCATCCTATTCTATTTACTGCTCATATCATAAATATGACATTCCGTGAGCAAAAGGCTATCCAAAAAGGAGGAGTACGGAGAGAAACATTAACATCTATTTTGTTATAATGACTTAACTGAAATAATTAAAACTTATAGTTCCAGTTATAAAGACTCTCTTTTACCTGGGGTAAAAACCTACCCCACTTTATCAACACTGTGAAGAGTGTCGAGAGGTGGTACTTGCTTAGAAGAACTAAGAGCTGAAAACAACAAAGTGTTCAAATGACACGAGCAAGACAACCAACAAGGGCTTCTATTGTACTTCTACTCATTTTAGTTTAAAATGTTTAAAGATACATCTCTAAAGATAGATATATCTCGAGATATAAAATGAGAGAGTCGAAAGCACTGAGGAAAAGTATACTGTTTTAGGAAGGCTGGGATACTGAGAGTAGATTGTTCATAGATAAAAGGTTAAAGGGGACCAGCCCCGTGGCTTAGCGGTTAAGTGTGCGTGCTCCGCTGCTGGCGGCCCGGGTTCGGGTCCTGGGCGTGCACCGACGCACCGCTTCTCTGGCCATGCTGAGGCCGTGTCCCACATACAGCAACTAGAGGGATGTGCAGCTATGACATGCAACTATCTACTGGGGCTTTGGGGGAAAAAAAAAAGGTTAAAGGGATTGGAGAATTCAACCCAAAAGATAGAACACATTTCTAGAATATTCCATGTACATCTTTTGAGTGCCTTTGCAGAGGACATCTCTTCTGTTTGAACTTGAAACAGCACATAAAATATTGACCAGCTTAAACTAGTTTTGCTTCCTTAAAACGGGTTGTTGATTAATCAAACCTTGCTCAATAACAGAGACAGCACTGAGCATGTGCCGGGTGGGAACCTGTAGCCCCATGATGACCCTGGAACCAAGAATCTTCAGAAATGTTGCCACCTGAGCCCTTTATGAAGCAAGAAGTCCTTCAATAAGGTAAATCTGGCTTCCAGTAGCTTGATTACCATATATGGACTGATTTGAAACTAGCCAATCAGCTTACACGGGCCCAGCTGCAGCTTACCAGCTCCTAACTCCTTAATTTTCACCCTAAACCTTGGATCAAGGAGACAGATTTGAGAGCTTTGCCTCCTGTCTACTTGCTGGTCAACCTCACAATGAAGCCTTTTCTTTTCTCAAAAGCCCGTGCCATAGTATTGGCTTCTTTGTGCCTGGGGCAGCAGGCCCTTACCTAGTAACAAACTGTCCTCTCTGCCTGTAAATCCTATTCATCACTTAAGGCAAAATTCAAATAGTTCCTCCACTGCTAAATATTCTCCAGCCTCCTAAACCATGGTCATAATCCACAGCTCTGAACTCTCTTCCCTCAGTACTTTTTTCAAACTGCCATCACTAAAGAGCTTCTCGGATTAAATCATTGTCAGGCAGGTAAGTTGAGGCAGTGTAGACAGTGGTGAGGAACATGAGCACCAGAGCAGACTCTAGTGTTGATTCTTGCTTCTCCCACATACTAATTGTGTGGCCTTAGATATGTCAGTAAACTACCCTGACTTGTTTCCTCATCCATAAAAAGGAGGTAACAATGTATCTACCTTATTAGGTTACGGGAAGGATTAAATATGGTTGTGCATCATTTAACAACAGGGACATGTTCTGAGAAATGCATCATTAGGGGATTTCATCATTGTGTGAACATCATAGAGTGTACTTACACATACCTAGATGGTATAGCCTACTACACACCTAGGCTATGTGGTACTAATCTTGTGGGACAACCATCGTATATGCTATCAGTTGTTGACAGAAACGTCATTATGAGGTGCAGGACTGTAATACAAAATATGAGAAAAGCATAGTGCCTGGCATAAAGTAGTCCTCAAGAAACGTTAACTTTTATTAACTTACCTGTTAGACCAGTTATTCTTCACTGTATATTAGAATCACCTGGGGACCTTTTAAAAAATACTGATGCCCAGCCTCCACCCAAGACCTAGTTTAAAAGATTCTGGATGGATGTGACTGCCTGGGTACTGACACACTTGAAGGCTCCCCAAGTGAGTTGCATGCTCCAGGGTTGGGGACCATTGCATTAGATGGTTACCCTTTGACAGCAGGAACTACTCATCTTTGTATCCCCAGCATTCGAGTTAATGTCACACATATGGGAGAATTCAAAACTGTCAAACCGAACTGACGTGAGAAGATCCAGAAGGAAGTAAAATTGAAGTATATTTTCAAAGCACCTCCTAAGATCTAGAGATGGTTTTAGGTATAACTATTTTCCAAGATTACACCCATGTAGCCAGGAGTGGAAGGTTTACCAGAGTACATTAGGGACATTCGGGGAAGAAGGGATATGGAGGAAGAACATTGGTCAGCTGCAAAGTTTCCCATGGAGACCCAGAATTCATACTGATAGAATGCCAACGATTGTAAGATTCAGTTAAACCCTCATTTGCAGGGATAGAGAAAATAGCTTCAACATATTAAAGAGTACTGTCCAGTCTGAAAACTATTTTGTAGTCATTTCCTGATTTTTGCAACAGGATTGGCAGTGCTCTGAAGAAACAGAATGTACTACACCAAGACACCCTGTGGCTAATAAAACCTAACTAGCTTGACGGGAAAATGCTGAACCACCAAAGATGATGGAAAGATAGAGGACACAGATTTTAAGAGCTGAAAACAAAGTAAACAGGATTTTTCCCTCAGGAATTTAGAGGCTGTTAGAACTAGGAGGGATCATAGGGGAATTTTTACATTATTTCAAAAAGGCTAGGTTTTGGGAATTATAAAGGTTTGGATTGCTGAAATTCGAAGCTATTATTAGGTCCTCTTCTTTTTTTGTGTCTGCTTTGCAATGATTATCGTAACCACAAAGGAGACAACATTTCGAAGCACTTGGTTATTTTTTAGTGCTCTTTCGGCTGACAATCCCAAATTTAATATGGCTCAGTTTTAGTGAGGATTATAGAATTTTGCTAAAGATTTTACTTGCAATCAATCAAAAAGCATTTATTAAGGACTCATATACTCAGAGCACTGTACTAGATACTTCAGAGACTGGATTACATACATGGTACAAGCGCTCAAGTGGTTCATAATTCCAATAACTCCACTACAAAACGGTTCAACTGTTAACTCAGAGCTTGCGCAGACTGAAATAAACATGTTTAGTACTATGCGCTTATGCGGCGATTTCTTTGGCTTAATACCAAGCGTGTTTCAGAGTGTCTCAAATCAAATACCGTTTATTATGATCCTGGAAACACATTTTCAGTAGGAACACCAAAGGCCATAGGTTTTTTTTCCTCTCAACATGAAGCTCTATTAATAGCTGGCCAAACATATGCCCACCAAGTGGTCTTCGGGAGTAAACCAAATGACTATAAGTGAACTGAGTCAAAGGTTATTTCTAATAAAATGAAGCAAGCTGTCACATGATTATGGCTATTGCCTGCGATGAAATAAAGATCCAACTCCTCCACCCTCAACCCTGAGCCCTGTACCACCTGCCTGCCCCGTATCTGTGTGTACCTTCTTCAAACTTCCTCATTCTCTATGTGATCACCAGCAAGAGGCAGAAACTGAGACTTCTCTTTCTGAAAGTGAAAAGTATCAAGTGAAACTCTTGATGCTCTCACTTTTCAATGTCTTTCTGCTTTTCCCCCTAAGAGTAAGCTACTGGAACCTGTAAATCTCCGACAGGCACGATTTTTCTTTAGTTATTACGGGAGGAATCTCAGAGTAAGGAGCAGAGAGTGTATAATACAATTACACAGCAATGAAGCATTTTATTCAAAACTAAACCATCCTCATTGGGCATTGTTGTTCTCATTTCCTTTGGTAACTTACATCTAGCGTTTTCTGGCAACCTATGAGTTCTTTGTTCAGTCTCAGGTTTAAGTTGTACTTAAAGTATTGCCACACACTTCAGCAATCTTGAGATCTGGGTTCGTCCAAACTGGGTAAATCCTTCCTCTGGCCATGTCCTAGGCTTTAATGTAGATCATATATTCTTTTTATTTTTCTGAGAGCAAATCAGAGTTTTGGTGATGTTAAGAACAAACGAGAAATCTCCTACACTGTAAGTGAGTACAAACTGGTGCAACTCTGTTGGAAAACGTTGGCATCATCTACTGAAGCTGACCTTATATATACTCTATGACCCAACAGTTTGACTCCTACATATGTACCCAACAGAACTCATGTTCACGTACCCCAGAAGACATATACAAGAATGTTCATAACAGGATTACTAACAAAAGCCAAAATCTTGGGGGGAAATGTACATCATCAGTAAGTTTGGTAAATAAATTACATTGTATTTCCACAATGGAATTCTATACAACAATGAAAAAAGAAGGAACTACTGCTATATGTAACAACTTGGTTAGATCTCACAAACACAATGTGGAGTGTAAGTCAGTCATGAGAGAATATACACCACATGACTTTTTGTACATAAAGTTCAAAAACAGTCATTAGAAGACAAACTAGTAAACTCTGGGAAGAAGGGAGCCAACAGTGATTGGCGGGAAACACAGAGAGGGCTTCTGGGGTCCTGTTAATGTTCTATTCCTTATCCAGGGGGTGGTAATTGAGTCTGTTCAGTTTGAGATAATTGATTGAGTGCTTGTGATTTGTATGCTTTTCTCTATACATGTCACACTATGTGTGTTGTAGAAGAAATATGTCTCAGAGAAAAGATAAATGTCTAAATATTAGAACTGGAAAAAAGTTCAAAGCTGGATCATTAGCAAGGTAGGGAAGGTTCTTCTGATTCTAGACAGTTAGATTGTCTAATATGCCTTATATCCTACTTAAGGACAGTATTAGTCCTAAAGGTAGCGAGATGATCTTGTAGATAAGATTCAACTAGTCATAGCTGCGGCAAATTGAGGGCTGTGGAGGTGAGGGTACATGCCTGGGATGACTTAAAATGGTCCTAGAACCTCCTGCAGATCAGTAGCCTGACATAATAGATACAACTTTAAAAGCACCCTCCAAAAAAAGCTGACCGAAGATATTCATGGGGCATGGCTTACTGAATATAATTTGATTTTCTATCATTTAATGTTTGTGTTAAAATTAGGCAGAATTCTATTTTACCTTTCACAAAAGAATAATAAATCGTAAAGAATTAACTTGCATAGGTTGAACACAGGTTACACTTAATAAATGCAAGTTGTAGATTTACAACTTTTTACAATTTAGATTTACAACAATCTATAAATTTCCAGGTGTCATCTGAAATAGCTTTATTTTGTTCTCACAGCAGGATCTAAAGTTTTACTTAAATAAAATGTTTTATGTTTCAAAAAGGAACTCTAACTCCTTTATGTGACTTTGTGTTTCTTAATTAGATTTCAATCAAGAAATTCTCTTTTTAAATAATCACATTTTAATAGCCCAGTAATACAATAACATTTTGAATGTTCAATTCTTAAGCAATCACTATGTTTTTCCCAAAGGTTGTCAGTGAGAATGATGTTACTGAAGAGGCCAAACATTTCATGAAATCTCTGTGATTTATCAAGCTGAAAATCAAGACATTTCCACTACAAAGCCATATATGACTGCCCACTGGACTGATGATACACAATCTCAGAAGCACCTAAATTCATGAAAAGAGAAGATGCTGATACAAATGGAATGATTTAGGGGAAAAGAACAGGTTAGGGAGAGGTGTAGGTCAACTTGTCAAAAGTCAACTCAAAAATGGTAGAATATGTAGACAGGAGCAATGATCAGTCAGAAGACCTGTCGTCTAGACCAGGCTTTCCCATTAACCAGCTCTGTGACCTTAGCCAAACCAGCCCCTTCTTTGTGCTTCCATAAGATGGTGGCTTCATTCTTGATGGTCTTTGCGGAGTTTAATTGACAATAATGACATGTTAGGGAAGGGCCAGGTAAAGTCAGCGCCAAGATGACAAACCGGGCAAATTCCACCTGCAGAAATGTTTGGTTTGGCTCACAAGGCATTGGTTCCGTGGTGTTTTTAATTTGAACTTGTTGATCACATTTAGAACTTGGGAAATAGCACACAAAAATCCAGATTTCCAGCTTCCACTGAAAATAAATATAGCAACGGGGGCCAACATACTCATGTCGAAAAAGTTGTCTGAAGTGAGAAGTGGCTGTTCCTTTAGAGACAGCATTCCATTCTACATGGTTCTTA